AGTGCCCAAAGAAAAAACCCTTTTTTAAAAAAAAAAAAAAAAGAACTTCCTAATACCTAAAGGGACCAGTGAGAGCCTCTGTCTTGCGGAGTTTCGTGATTTTCTTAGAGGGAGGAAGAGAGAGAAAGGGAGGCGAGAGCTAGGTGGAGGGAGAGGACAGCTTCTCCGGGCAGCGCACTGGCTCTCAGTGGGGCTGACCCCAGAACCACCGGCCGCCTTGTAGGACGCCCGCCCACCCCACTGTGCACCCCGGCCCCAGCCGCCTGGGCTCGGCCCGCCTCTGCGCTCTGCACCTGAGAGTGCGACAGGGACAAGTTTCAGTCTCTATCCCCCGGGAAGGAAGGGCGGCCCCAGGCCGTGTTCAGCTGAAGCCAAGCCCCTGGCTCGTGGAAACCGTGTGACTCACCATCGTGGCAGTGAATGGGATGTTGTCAATCAGCGAGGACGCCAGCGCCGAGACCCACAGCACCAGGGCGATGGCGGCCGTGAGGCGCTGGTCCTCGGGGACCGCCTGCAAGGAGCAGACAGCAGCAGTGTCGTGGGACCCCGCGACTCATCCTGCCTCACACGTGGCCAGCCTGGGCCGACACGGGGCGAGCCCTGTCCAGGACAGCCCAGACCCCCCCCATGCCCGCAAGAGGGGGGCGGGCACCCCCACCCCATGCACGCGGGGCGGTTGCACACACGGTCACGCTGTGGGTCTATGGGGACATTGGGCGTGGGGGCTCGCCAGGAGCCGGGGGAGGAGGGCCCACAGACACGACCACCTGCTGGGAGTCTCTGGCCAAAAGGTGGGAGAGAAAGGTAAGACAGGACAAGCCGGGGGAGACCTTGGGCCCACCTTTTAAATAAACAACGGATGGAAGACAGGGTAGAAGGGGACTCCGAGAAGGCGACAGGGCTGCTGGCCTTCCTGGGCCCGGCCAGCCGTCTGCGGAACGGACCCTCTCGCTAACCCTGAGACACCACTGTCCCGCCCTCCCGGCCCTCGCTGGGACGAAACAGCCCCACGGTCCTCAACCCACAGCCCTGGCGTGCCTAAGTGGCGCATCTGCGGGCTCCCTGGCTGGGACTCCACTGCACTCTCCTCCGGGCCTGAGAGGGCCGAGGGCAAACCGAGGCTGCCTGCAGGGGGGCTTTCTGGGAAAAGCAACGCTCCCTTCAGCCCGGCCTTCCCCAGATAAAACTGGCTTCCTGCTGTGCTTTCTTACACCGCTAATGTGACCCGTTCCTAGCAGATCTTTGCTTGTTTTTTTAGCGCCACCGAAGCGCAGCAGCCAGAGCTCCCGCCCGCGTGCCCGCGTACCTTTATGAGGGAGGCGGTCTGCTCGCCGACGTACTCTATCAGGTGGAGGTGCGCCAGGGCCTGGGAGAGGACACGAGGGACAACGACTTCAAAACGGAGACCACGCAGGATTAAAAGAGCCTTTAAAGTAAAGGCTGAGCACGGGTAGCCCAGACTCCCGCCGGGCACGCAGAGCAGACGGCCGGGCCCACGCATCACCGCCTCGGTCTATGGCTCAGGGCTCAGGCGGACCGAGGCGGGCCCTCCTCGCCTGCGTTCCTGGGCGGCACACCGGACGGCACCGACCCAGACCAGGGCACTCGGCGGCTGCAGGGCCGCGGAAGGAAAGCCCTCTTGCAGAGCAGGCTTCAGGGAAGCTGCATGTCCAATTGCTTGTCAAAGTTCACATCCCAGTCGGCCTTAGAAGAGAGTGCCAGGAGGGGACAGCCTTTGGAACCGTGGGCGGACGGGAGGAAAGGCCCGTGTATCGGCCAGCAGCTACTTCCCGGGCCCGGGGGCAGGCGAGCTCGGGACAGACGGCGGAGTGTGGCCGAGGCTCAGGCCCCCGCCGCCTGGTGCCCGCACAGGAGGGGGTGCTCCGAGAGCCAGGTGGGTCCGTGGTGGGGCTCTGGGGCTGCGCTCTCCCCCGGCACGGGGCTTCTCCCTGCTTGAGCACGCGAATGGCTGTGCGGACCCCAGGAAGACAACTGGTCCTACCAGCACTGCAGGGGAGCAGCCCCCGCACCCATCAGAGGAGGAATTCAATACCCACACTTGGCCAGGAGCGGAGGGGAGAGAAAGGCCACCCAGACGGGGGAGCTGAGGGCTGGACGGAAGCTGCGCCAGACGGGACAGCGCACCAAGGTCAGGAGGTGGAGGCGGCCGGGACCCCCAGTTCCCCGGTCACAGTCGCCCACGCTGCAAGGACCGGGGCTCCAGGCTGAGGCTGCTTGGGCTCAGGACCCGAGAGCTCCAGGGTGGAGGGCCCCTCAGAAGCTGCTGGGCCAGCTCAGGTACAGAGGGAAGGCACGGCCGGGGGACGCTGGGTCCCCCGGGAGAGCGAAGGCCGGCTCCTGGTCGCCGGACACACTGGTGCACCTGCCACCTTGGCCAGCCAGTGAGACCAAGGGCCGCCGGTGGCAG